GATTACAAGTGGAAGGAGATTGGTTATATTTTTAATGAGTTTTTTCCAAACCCAAGTTTTTGAATTTTGGATTACAAACATTGTGTCATTGGCGTTTATGATTTTTTGAGTGTTGTGATTTTGCTAGATTGAAGCGATTACTGCGAATTGTACACAATGTGCAGTAATCGCAACACAACAACAACAATGTACTATTGTCTGGATATTTAATTAGTTATAGTGCTCACCTACAAATTTGAAGGTTGTTGATTCGATTCCAATAAGTATTAATGTGTCTGTACCAAGATACCATTTGTCGTTGGTCTATCATGAATCAATGATGTCGTCTAATGAAATGTCAAAAATTGATATTAACAAGTCCAGGGTTTGAAGTTTTTCCTGGTTAAAATTCCAATGGCGTGGAAACTCAAATAACACAATGAATACTGTGCGTAACTTAGCTAATGGGTAAAAACAAATGGTAATAGTATTACAAATAAAGTTTGGGTGCAGCAATTCTATTTCCAACAGTTTTGATTAAGGAAACCGATGAGGACTGAACGTAAACAAAACGAGAGATCCGTGCTTATTGTAGAACACAGGGGACCCGTAGGAGCATCCACAATGATTGGTTTTACACGGAACATTATTCTGAAAGCACAACTTTTTTACAGAAAACTGGCGTTAGTTGAATTTTGAAGAAGCAGTACGATCGTCTGATAATTTCATGTGGTAGCTAAACACCCTTTTATACCAAATTGTCGTTGTACACTCATTGAAGATTATAGATACGTGTCCTGTGCGGGATCTTTTAGGTGTTATAACACCCTTGGAATTATTTCAAGTTTCATGTTGTACATTTGGATACATAAGGTAAATGTTAAGGTAGCAATGCAATTTCACATTAACTTACACCTCATCTATGATGTATGCTTGTTGGTACCTGATAAGCTAATCGACCTCTGATTGGACGTGTGTCACGTGACTCGTAGTGTCGAACATCAAACGTATCAACCACTCGATATGATCACATGTTTGATTGCCTACAGACGATCATCTTGTGTTGCCGTTGACAGGTGATCAACTCTGTGTTTTGTGATGCGTGAAATGATCTCTAGTCAGTGGCACCGTAGATTTGTTATCCGTATGGATCAGCTGAAGACAATTTTATTGTTAGGTCAGGTGCAGTGTAGAGGTCTTGTTTTGTTTACGATTTGTTTCTTGTTATTTCAGACTTAAAAACCTCTTAAAAAGATTTTATCATAAAAAATAGCTGGCTCCCTAGTAATATAACCAAACAGTAAAGTACAAATCATGAAATTTAACTTTAAAATAATAGAAATAGAATTTCTTAGACACTAGCGATCAGTGTCACCGGATATGAACTAGACACGAAAAACGAGCTTCCAATTTACAATAGGATGAGAAGTCTACTGGGGTTGGTTAAGGTGGTACCTATCAGTGATGTAGAGTTGTGTGTTTGTCGATTTGTGCAAATAAAATAAACTTGATGAGTTATGCAAAGATATCTACGTCGTTTCTACTATAATTTACTTTTCATCACTTCGTACAGTTTGAAAAGTGCCTTACAGGAAAACGTCGGTTTCATCGAAACAGTTATCTTTTAGAATTAATATTCAAATTTGTAATTGCCTAATCAAAAGCTGCATACAAAAGCTTCGTTGTACCGCATACTTTAGACTAGTTCATTATTTATGCTATACGTTATGTAAAATCTTGCAATGTTGGTAACAAATTAGTTCGTAATTAAGGTGTACCCACTATCAAGTCAAACGTTTTTGAATAACCAAATAGTCACAGATTACATCTTATTATGTTCATAAATGTTGGTGTAATTTATCGAGGTTTGTAATGAATGCAAAGTAGACTGCGGTACATGATGGAAAGCGAAGAGTTTTGGTTTATCAGTTTAATTAAGATGCCATAAAGAAGCCTAGCTTGGAGAGGCTAACTAAGATTACCTTTAGGGTTGTACATTGTGGTTGTAACACAGGTAAACTTGTGGCGTTGAGGGAAGTTACTGGTCTTAAGTAAACGTATTAAGTGTTTAAACTGATGGGATACAAATAACTGAGCGAAACAAGCTACAGGTTTCACAATCGTATAAAAAGTCCAACGTATTTAATAGCTTTTATGTACATGGCCCTGTTTCTACTGCAGTAGTTTTGCCATAACTTTGGATTGTTCTTAATTAATTGACTAATGCGTATTTTTCTGTTTGCAGGTGAGTGAAAACCATCTATTAGTGATTGTGTTTGAGCAGATTTCACTTTGTCCAAGGTAACAAACATTAGTTGTTCGTAGTATGTTAGATAACATTTTATATTTTTTAGACATAATCTAAGACTTTTTCCAAATTGACAATGATATAAGGTTTGTGGATTATGGTGTATAAGGTTTACTTCTGAACGTACGTGGAGGAATATATTCTAACAAATAATTTTAAGGTTGTTATTTTGGTCGCAATTAACCGAAAACAAGTTAAATTTAGATATGTTAAGCCGGAAATCGAAAAATTATTTTTAATTTTCGTCGATAATATACTGCTTATGATTAAAATTTACCCCTGAAAAAAATTGATAGCGACACAAACTTGGGTTGCGTATTTTGCTGAATGTAAAAATACAAGTCGAGTGTAAAATGGAGTGAAATGTATTGAATTCATCTGTTAACTACTAAGACAAGCTGTTTTATTTTTTGGGATAATTTATTAAAAGCCCAATTATTAAGGTTAGCCGGATAAGAAACCATTAATAAACAACTGATTTTCTCAGGATCGAATCTGCTACCTTACAATTATCAGACGAAACGGAAACCGCTGTAAACACTCAGCAACATAGTTATTAAATATTTACTCATGAACATGAAAGTTTTTTATCCATACAAAATTATATGGAGATACTACATTACTGTATGTATACATTTGAAAATTAAATTTTACATTGCCTTTACAAAATTAATTTTTATATATTGAGTTAAACGTGAAACCTATCGTTCATTGTATTTTGCATAAGTAAACGTGAAAGAAGCAAAAGGAGTTTTTATAATCGGCTCAAGACCATTCTCAAGGGGAACTGTCGGTAACAAACCGTAATTCCCAGACCAATCTCCTTTTAAACTGCCTCTAATCAGATTATAGCAAGTTTGCTCAAAACGTAGAAAATATACGTTTTTCACGCTTTTCCTCTATCTAAAGATGTACTAAAGTGTAATGTGCAACAACTTCTTGGTACAAAGTGCCTACTTGGCTACAAACATTGTAAGTTACATTTGGAAGGTATCTGGTAACTAACGCTTATATAATTCCATTAATAATTAAGATGAACTCCCACTAAGTTCGTCAGAACAAAGCTTCCTGTAGTACGTATTGCATAATTCAATTGATTGTTTATCCCTCTCTAGAATACGTCAGGCCCATGTTGGCCTCTTAAGCTCAGCTTGTCCAAGAGGCTTATGAGATATGAGAACTTCGATTGATGCAGGATTATAATTTATGGTGATCTCAGGTCTATGATACAAGTGACTTAGGCCTGGTTGTAGTTTGATTAATTTATTAGCTGTGGATTATACTTCGGGTGTGTTAACAGAAGGGGTATTGATAATTAATTGATAGTTTTGTTTACTTTTCTATTGCACAAAATATTAAATACAATAAAAGTTACATATTAACCTAACTTAAGACTTTCATCCAAAACTTTAGGAAAATATATACAAGAAAGTGTTGTATATGCACTTGCAATCATTATATCATTGTCATCATTTCCTTTGGATCAATTGGCAAATTCTTAATGATGAAGTCTGTAAGATTGTTACATTGTAAGTTTTGAATGAAATAACCAAGATTACTTCGTTTCTTTTGCTCCTACCTTGTGGTTTAGAGTTTTGGACAGTGCAGTAGGAATAGTTTATGAGTCCAGTAATACCATAGATAAGAAGTAGAGTAGCGTATACCTATACATGACAATACGAACGTGGGGAAAAGGTTTTAACTAATTTTATAAGAAGGAATGGTCTTGTAATATCTTTTGCGTAGACTACAGAAACAGCATCTGAGAATACAAATTGAAAACAAATCACTTGAGTTGCATCCACATCAATAGAGGGCGAAACAACGGTTGAAACAACAATAGGCTACAAAACACATACACTTATTAAACATGAAATTCGGTTTAGCCAAAATTAACAATTATCTTGTTTGTTCAATGATTAGCTTGACAAATGATAACTTCAGTTATATATAGACTGAACCAATCATCGCTGTATTACATAAAGTAAAATTATCGATGTATTACATAAAGGTAACAACCGATGTACTACAAAGCCTTGTTAATTATTCCACATTGAAATTTAATTGTGAGATGAAACGCACAATCCTACCTTTGACGCTGTGATTCGGAATCGTAATTTCCCAATTTTCCTCTAATTTGTAGGGTTGGAATTTTCCTGTACAATATACTCCAACGAAGTTTGTAATTAGTGACGAACTTGCAATATATTTGAATGTTTATTATCATCCAAGTGGCCAGTTGATACTGTTTGTTCTGATGGACTTTATTTTGATAATTTTATACTTTTTTAAAGTTTGAATTGATCTTGCAGGTACATAATTAAGTTTTTGAAGTAGACTTCTCTATGGAATAACTGTATACTGTTTCTTTACCAAATGGTAACATATTTGAGTGCGGAAAAATATAAATTGGGTTTCTTTGTTAGTTTTTAAGGTCAGTACAGTTGATTTGGGAATAAAAGATTATAAAGTGTACAAAATGTGCTAATTCAGTTTGGCATGAAACATTTATGTTTATATGAATGAAAACAGCATTTATTTGCCTCATTTATTGACTCTGACTCAGTAAAACAACGTTATTTTTTAATATGGCTCCAATTTTAACACCATAAATGGAATTAATGCCACGGGAGTGTGTTAATTGTATTATTCATAAGCTAACAATGGTTCTTTGCACCTTAAATTATGTTTGATAAATTCAAATTGTACTTACTCAGACTAGTGAACGTCTTTCTTCAGCCATCGATAGTAAAGACCTGAAAATAAGTAATCCTTGAAATCCTTGTTGATAGTTTTTATAAAATATACTCCTAATATAATTGTAATCTTTTTGTATACATACTGCCTGTAACTTTGCTATTATAACGCAAGTGAAAGATAACATATAAAATCGACCTTCAAAATTAACCTTCTGCAAAAAATACATCAGCACTGAAGCGATAATATATGGTAACACTTTTAAAGATGAACAAATTTCTGCGGAAATAAAGTTGAACAAATTTCAGCAGCAAGGATTTCCCAGGTATTTACAACTGGTTAAGATCCGGTTTAATTAAGAAAACGATAAGCAGCAACGACTGAGATTGTATTCCCGTTAAGCTAAGCTGTTCACAGGTTGGTTCTTCTCATTCCAGTCTTTTAACACAAAAACAACTTTTTAGAAATATTTTTAAACGACTGAATATTTCTTTAGACCAGAAATAGGCTATTTAACAGTTAAGTAGACTCCCTCTCATCCGGACTCCTCGGGACCGAGGCCTGTCCGGATAACGGGTTCTGCGGTTGAACCGACGTCCCGAAAAACTTGTTAAAAGGACCGTTAAAATGCGTATTAGACTAAAACTTAGGAGAGCATTGTATTTTGTTAAGACACGTGATCACTGGTCTCAAATCTTTCCTACGAGTACAGTCGTTTTAGTACCGCCCACTTCCTGCCTCTAGTCCGGTTAAACCGATGTGCTGAATTGTCCGGTTAAAGAGATGTCATTTCCGCCGAGTGTAGTCCGGTTAAACGGGTGTCCAGTTAAAAAGTGTCCGGAAAAGAGGGAGAGTCTACTGTAACCGTCATACAGTTTTGTAGCTCGTGTGAAAACAGGTCTAGTTTTGCACCTAGTTATATAGTAACATGTACTATTTGAGGTGTTCTTGAAAAAAAAAATTAGACTCAGAACAGATTAATTAGTCCCTCTTTTATAATATACTAGCTGTACCCGCGGGCTTTGCCCCGTTTAACTTCATATGTGAGCTCGTTCGCATGGCTCAAGTTTCACGTCCTGGTTGAAGTTCGTTCGCTACGCTCACTCACCTTTAGGTTGGAGCACGTTCGGCGCGCTCACACGTCCTGGTTAAAGTTCGTTCGCTACGCTCACTCACCTTTAAGTTGGAGCTCGTTCGCTGCGCTCACTTGCCTTCAGGTTAGCTCGTCCGCTACGCTAACTCGCCTCCGGATTGAAGTTCGTTCGCTTTGCTCACTCACCTTTTGGTTTAAAATTAGCTGTTGTCAAATATTAAAAAAAATAATAGTGCTGCACTCTGGTGGTAATCCTTGTAACTTTAATGCTATTGAACATCATAGAACAGAATCAACTTGTTTAATTGAAACAGCTGTTAAGATTCATTTATTCCATTTAAATATGAGTACTCATTAGGTTAACATGGGAAACTCCAGAGCCACTGGGGCGGAGCCCGAGAGTCCGATCAGAATAAAAACCACTTAGTTTTCCTATTTAATGCCTAAAGAATCAGTGTACCAAATTTCAGCCTCCTAGGTAAATGGGAAGTGGGAGAATTAGTGATGAGTGAGTGAGTCAGTCAGTCAGTGAGGGCTTTGCCTTTTATATATATAAATGAGGGGTGCAGCTTATGTTTAAATTTAAAATACCTATATTTATACCTATATTTTAAATTTTTGTGTTGACTTAGTATGTAAATATTTAATTTAGTTTTTCGTAAACTTTTGTTCATACTTTGCAAAGAATTATAGTGCATTTATGTGGTAATGCGTGGCTGAAATATGGCTTTATCCGAGCAATAGTAAACATCTATAATACAAATTAAACTGTTGAATTTTTTAATAGTAAGTGTTGAAAATTTATCAAATATGGTCGCAAAACAATTAATAGATGAATTAAAGAATGTATTTTCTACAATGTAGACGATATTAGTAGAGATTCTGCTGAAGTTCACCACGGTGTTTTAACGAACTACTTTTTCCCGGAGCAAGTTAATAATCGACTATTTAAGGAACCCATTAAGAACCCGCAAAAGCTTGACTATTAGCTGAGAGATTAACTTGAGTAACGTCCAATGAATTCTGAAATCCCCGACGGCCTTAGGGCTCCATTTTAATTAGCAATTTGTTAATTCCTCCTGGGACAAAACGCTCTACCATTGTCTTACTTTGCTTTGCGTTTTGTTTTGTTTACCTTCCTATTGTTCAACAGGTAAAAGCGAAATATTAGAAAATAATTTGTAAATTAAATTTATTTCTTAGCGTTGCGACCACTTAAAAATGAAACCACACAAATGTCGTCATTATACAGGGTGTCCCGAAATTACTGACCCAAACTTTACCAGGTTACGGGTGAAAACAAATAAAATTTATCCTATAATGTTCTTTCTCACTTAGTTTTGTTGTCAATCTGTCTGCATTTGTTAAAAAATAAAATTAAACTTATCTACGTAGTGGGTTGAGATATCAAATTGAAACTTTGCATAGTAGTTGGTTTTAGTAATTTACATTTCCTTAATGATTTACAAAAATTGTCAATTCCGGTTTAAAATGGCGGTCTTAACAAATTTTCAATAGAATTTTCCATTTTTAAGATAAGCTTTTAAATTTGTTATGGCCACCATTTAAAACCCGAAAGTGATATTATTTTGAAAATCATAAGAAGGGAAATGTAAATCACTAAAACCAACTACTATGCAAAGTTTCAATTTAATATCTCAACCCACTACATAGATAATTTTATTTTAATTTTAACACATACAGACAGATAGATAGAAAACTAAGTGGGATATGACTACACATTAATACATTACAGGACAATTTTTTTTTTGTTTTGACCCATAAATTAACCAGGTTAAGTTTGGGTCAGTAATTTCGGGACACCCTGTACAAATTACTATGATACTTTAAATTAAGAGAAGTACCTATGGCGATTTTAACCAAAATACGAGTGTGGAATGACTTTTTTTTCAAAAACCCAAATATTTCTTTAGTCAGAATAGTTGTTTTTTTAAAGCCAACGATTAATGGTTCATTTTAGTTTTGAATCATCTAAAATTGTTTATTAAGATTTTGGTAGTTTTGTCGTAAGAGCGAAGACTTTAAATCCATGATACCAATGTCGCGGGTTCGAATACTTGTACATGCCAAGAGCTACTGACTTTTGATTAAACCTGCAATATTTTGCTTCTTAGAAGATAGATATTCTCTGTTACCCATATGAATTCTTTTAAGTAGTTTAGAAGACGTTTTAGAGCACTAACACCGTAGTTTAATCTTGAGTCACATATTTTTAGATGAAACAACTCAAACGACGTTCCACTCTCTAGTAATTGAAATAATTTACAACACCGTGTTTTTTTACCAAAGCCCACACACTGAGGAACATAAATAGTCGATGTAGTGATATAAATAAGAGTAAGTTGTTTTTAGCGTTGTACATTAGAGTTAATGGGCCTGGTGATATGTGTTGTACAGAGGCAAATCTGCGTTTGTGATAGTTGTGTCTTTGTCTTTACGTGTGTGTTGACAAATAAAAGAAATCGGGTGGACTTAAAACTACAGTCGCTGGTTTTTTCCTCATTGAATAAAAATGTATGGTTAAACTTGTTGTATGGTGGTAGGGTAATAGCCTTGTTTATTTAGATTTTTGGTGAATGTAGAAAACAAGGATTTGGCCTATGTAGGTAGAACTTAACGGTTAATTTAGTATCGAACATGTTACCATGTTTTAGTCCTAAGATAATTGGCAACATATCAGTTTAAATTTTTTTTAGTAAGAAAATTAGTTTGTAAAGAATGATTAAACTTGATGTAAATAAATTACACAGAGTTTTCACAATTATTACTTCATGATTTATTTAATGGATAATGTTTTTTCTTATACGTGAAAATTGTTTAGCAAACTTTTTAGTACCTGAAAATCTTACAGGTATAAAATCATATATTATAATAAATCCCTAAAATACCGAACACACAAAAGTAATTTATTTTCATCAAAATTTGAAACGTTCAACATATAATTTGTCCAAAGGGATTTTAAGGAAATTAATACACTTATATGAGGGCTGGGTCAATAATCTATGCATAACAATTTAGTAAATGGTATTGCTGTCTTCTGAGATACATAATTAAATAAAATATAACTTTGGACGTTTTGGACTAAGGTTTTACTGTTGAGGACATTTTTAGAATGCCAGGAAATGTTCACTAATATACATCGTACTCTGACTTAAAAATCCAAGCATTAAAATCCAATAACCTTTGTCCTCAAAGACAACCAAGGCGGAATGAAAGTAATGAGTTATTTCGAATATTGATAACAGTATGCTATTGTTAGTGAAATGGCAATACTGTCAATGGCCCTGTCCTGCAATATGCAATAATGAGAATCTCACTTGACAGGTTTGATGATATATCATTGGCTCTCTCATTTCCTCATCGTAATGATACATAAATATTGGCTATTGATGAATTGGCAATTTGGTTCCAATCAAATTGTATCCAAAATAGTTTGTGGGAAAACGATTATATATTTGATAGGTTTATTAGTTTGGACGTAATTATGTACCTTTCATATGCACTTTTTCGCTGTACATGTTAGGTTGCTTATGAAAAAGTTGTGTGAAATATGAAATTTGTTTTAAGTGTGCGTAAACTGAAATTGAACCAAACTTTTAGATTTTTAAGATTTTTCCTGCTATTTTGCCAAGAATCGTCTAAATGGGTATTATGTAGGTGCTAAATCTTCTAAATACGTTTTCAATATTATCTAAGTGAGTTCAAAAAAGTACTCTTTTTATATCATCCATACTACTCTGTTACCCATATAATTCTTTAAAGTCGTACAGAAGACGTTTTAGAGCACTAACATCGTAGTTTAATCTTGAGTCACATATTTTTAGATGAAACAACTCAAACGACGTTCCACTCTCTAGTAATTGAAATAATTTATAACACCGTGTTTTTTACCAAAGCCCACACACTGAGGAACATAAATAGTCGATGTAGTGATATAAATAAGAC